AGGTAGAAACAGTATCATTAGTTTGAAGGTAGAAACAGTATCATTAGTTTGAAGGTAGAAACAGTATCATTAGTTTGAAGGTAGAAACAGTATCACTAACTTCAGGAGATGGAAGATAAATTTGATTTTGTAGTTGGCTGATTTCTGCCTGCCTGGCACTCCTTCTAGCCTTTAGAACTTATTTAAGTAGGATTTCTGTATATTAATGTTCACACCTTCTTCAAGAGATTTTTTTTTATTTTATAACACTTTATTTTTACATCATTTTGTACATTTTTTTTCCATCTCAATTGTAATCCCCGCGGGTTTCCCATCACCATGTCACCCGTGTGCCATCAGCACAATCTCGTGCACCTCCCTCCCCACCCCCCCATTTCCGATCTCATTCCCCACTCCACCCCCGCAAAATGTCTCTGGTATACGGTTGTTCATTATTTTTGTTATTTTCTCGCCTGGCCCATTATACTCCTGCTATGAGTGAAACCATCCGGTATTTTTCTTTCTCTTTCTGGCTTATCTCACTAAGCATGATCTTTTCCAGCTCCATCCAAGTTGCTGCAAAAGACATGTGTTTCTCTTTTTTGGTTGCTGGGTAATATTCCATTGTATATATGTACCACATCTTTTTTATCTAGTCATCTACTTTTGGGCATTCTTCAAGAGATATTTTTACCTGCCCCATTTTTCTGATGAGGAGCCTGAGGGCCGGAGAAGTCAAGTAACCTAAGCTGTTAAATGCAAGGACTGGATTTGAGTCTTAACAGCTTGAATTCAGAGCCCTGAACTGCCTGTGTTGCAGCAAGCTTCCTGCAGGAACAGTTTTAGGAGGGCCACAAAGAGGCATGGTGGAGACTGTGGCAGGTGGTGGCTGCGCTCTGTCCTCTCTGGCTAACAGCTCTTTCAACTCTCCTCCCGCTTTGTGTTATCAACCCCCCATTGGAGAGGGTTCCTTGCTTGTTCAACAGGGATCTCCTGCCTGGTGTCACTGGCACCAAAGAAACGAGACCATCCAGACTAGCAGAGCAGAAATTGTGCCGATGGACCAAGGAACAGAGAAGGGAGAGTTCATGTTCTCAAGTTACCTGCTCTCTGAGAAAAGGCAAAAAAATCTCTTTTATAGGTAAAGCAAGCGAAGGACTTAGAAAGCATGGGGCAAGGGATGGGAGCATGTGGGTTTGTCGGTCCCTGCACAGGTTTCCTTGGCTATCGCTTCAGTTAGGCTGGGTTTCGTTAAGTCCTGGGGTCCATCGTTCTCTGTGACACTCTCAGGACAACTGCAGCTTTTATTCTGCGGAAGTTTGTCCTGAAAGACAAGACATCTAAGCCCAAGAGGTGTTCTTATTTTCTAGAGCCAAAAGCAAGACAGCCTGACTAGGTGACTGTGAACAGTTCCTTCCACTCTGCTCAGAATTTACTAAGTTTCAGTGCACTTGGGGGTGACACTCGGGTTTCCGTAAAAGTCCACATCCTCCCTGCAGGCCCTGAGAGGTCCTCCTGCTCCCCACCCCTCAGCTCTCTGGTGGTGCCTCCTCCCTCTCTCCCCCTTGCTCTCTCACTGTTGCCTCACGGGGGCTGCCTGCTGTTCCAATCACACCTGCATGTCGGCAGGTCGTGCCCAGGGCCTCTGCAGAGGCTGTTCCCTCCACCTGGGGCTGTTCTCCTTTTGGTGTTCCTGTGTCTCTCTCTTCACTCCTTTTAAAACTACACAAATGTCACCCCATCATCCTATTAAAAATTGCAATCATGATCATAGATATTGCCACTTCCTTTCCCCGCCGCACTGTCGTCTAGTATAGGAATACTTCACTAATGTTTTAACGTCATGGTGTCTCCCCGATTCCTACAGGAGCTCTTATGGGCAAGGATATTTCGCGTGTGCATTTGTTTGCCCCGCAGTCTGTGGCATCCAGGGCAGTGCCTAGAGGGCAGACGCCCGATAAATTGTTTGCTGAATGAACATCCGTGTAGAAATAGTGAAACTTGCGACCCGCCGCGGGCCCGTCCAGCAAACCTCAGACCACAGAACACTCACGTTCGGCTCCCCAAAGGGCGCAGGGTGGTTAAGACCGAGGCCCCGCCCCCCCCACGAGGCCCCGCCCCCACGAGGTCCCGCCCCACGAGGCCCCGCCCACTTGCGTCTACGCACGCACGATGCCATCACTCCAGGCGATCCCGTCCTGCGTATTTCCCAGCACGACACCGGGGGACACACGCACGACCCGGAAGACCTTCCCGTCCCTCTCTTAAGCGGGCGTGAGGGGGGCCGATGGCGGAGGGAGTGGCGGAGGCTGCAGCAGACAGTGGTAGCGGCGGCGACTCGGGAGCCGGCGCGCAGGATTGTGGAGTGGCGCCCATCAAACATCAGTGAGTCCCCGGGGCAGAGGGAAATGCTCACGGAGCCGTCCCAGCACCCGTAGAGCGCCTCGAGCGGTGCATGTCGGGAGATGGGACAGCGGCCCCGGGCGGGAGGCCCTCACTAGCTTCAGTTCGAGCCATTCCTCCGTCCGCTGGGTCAGCAGCCGGGGCTGAGTCGCGCACGTTGCTTGCTGTCACATGTGGGAAGCTTCATGGGGGGCGGGGTTTGCAACGAGGGCCGCAGCTGCATGCTGGGGACTGTAGTCTCAGAGAGTGGCAGGACGCGCACTCCCAGCCCACGTTACTGGCTGAGACTCGTCTGAAGCTAGGGTCGCGGGGCATGCTGGGACTTGTAGGAAGAGCGTGCTGGGACGTGTGGTGGCTATGGACTTCGTTGCAAGGCATGCTGGGACTGGTAGTTTATTGTAGCCTAAGGCGGTCAGGGATGTTCTGGCTGAGAGCTGAAGTTTAGTTGAGCTAAATGACAGGTATGGTCCGTGGGAACCCAGGATGGAAATAGAACCTTTCTGTGATTCGAGGTGCTCCCTACAAGGCTGTCAGTTTGCGGAAGCATATAAGCAGCGTCAGGTGTTTCAGTCTTTTCTCCAGCCTTCATAGGGGTCAGAGTTCAGAGAAGCCCACATAATCCCTCCTCCCCCAACCCCCCACCCTCTGCAATAGATACCTCACCACCAAGGAGCAGTTCCACGAATTTTTGGAAGCCAAAGGACAGAAGAATCCCAGCTGGGAAACAGAGGCAGGAAACCCTGGTGACATTGATGCCGCTGAGCCTGAGGCCAAGCGGATCCGACTGGAGGATGGGCAGAAAGAGGACAAACAGAAGGAGGAGGCAGAGGAAGCCAGGGAGCAGCCGCAGGCTCAGAAGAGGGCCCGGGGCCAGAACAAGGCCCGGCCCCATCTGAAGCCCACCCACTATGACCAGAACAGGCTGTGCCCCTCCCTGGTCCAGGTGAGTGAGAAGCAGGAGCTTCACAGGGCTGTACTTTCTGGCCTTTGTTAATTGCCATCGCTCCAGCCCGGAACTCAGTCTTTAGTGTCATCCTTTCCACGAAGAAACAGGCTCTGTGAGGTAACTGACTTAACGACACATGGCCAGGAAAGGGTGGATCTGGGGTTCAAGTTCAGGCCGCCTGCTGCCCCAGCGTCTCCCCGAGCCCCCTCATTGTCTGCTGTTCCCCAACAGGAGTCAGCTGCTAAGTGTCTCTTTGGTGACCGCTGCCGCTTCCTGCATGACGTGGGCCGCTACCTGCAGACCAAGCCGCCTGACCTGGGCCCCCGCTGTGTGCTCTTTGAAACCTTCGGCAGGTGTCCCTATGGTGTCACCTGCCGCTTTGCTGGAGCCCACCTAGGACCTGAGGGTCAGAACCTGGTGCGGGAAGACTTGGTCCAGGCCCCTCCCGTCCGCAATAGCTTGGACAAGGCACTGCAGCAGCAGCTGCGAAAACGAAAGGTCTACTTTGAACGTGCTGAGCAGGCTCTGCGCCAGCTAAGCAAGAGTCAGCTGCCAGGCTCCACTCCTCCTGCCACTGTCCCCAAGGTCATAGGGGCTGAGGGTGCCCCAGGGCAGCAGAACTGTGATGCCCAGCAGGCCCCACTGGGGCAGGATGCCAGTGGCCCTCCCAGCAGCCCCGTGCAGACCTGTGGGCCCCTGACTGATGAGGACATAATCAGGCTACGGTCCTGTGAGAAGAAACGGGTTTGTGTCTGGTGCTCCCTGCTGAGGACGCTAGCAGCGTGTGTGAGGGGAGCGGGGAGCGGAGAGAGTTGGGCACATAGTCCCAGCTCCAGGGCTAGACTGACAGAAATGGCAGTAGAAAGTTTGTTAGGAGAGGAGGCACTGAGAATGGGGTGGTGAAGGATGAGCAGAGGCTCTCCGGTGGAGGAGACAGTTACACTCCTCATTGGGGGACAGCTTGACCAGTGCCGAGTGTCAGAGGCGAGAGGATGCTGGGCCAGTTGGAGCAGGTCACAGCATGCCACAGAGGGTGGGGAGAAGGGAGGCCAGAGAGGCTTCCGCCGGTTGGGGCATCCAGCTTCACTGTGCGTTTCCTTTTCCCTGTAGCTGGACATCAGTGGCAAACTGTACCTGGCGCCTCTCACCACGGTAGGACCCTTACCGGGTGGGTTGGGCAGTGGTGGTGTGACGCTTGGGTTGGGCTCGGGCCGGGGCGGGTGTCTGAGGCCGCGGCCTGCCTCTGCGCCTGCCTGCAGTGCGGGAACCTGCCCTTTCGGAGGATCTGTAAGCGCTTTGGCGCCGACGTGACGTGTGGGGAGATGGCCGTTTGCACCAACCTGCTGCAGGGGCAGACGTCTGAGTGGGCCCTGCTCAGACGCCACCAGTGTGAGGACATCTTCGGCGTCCAGGTGGGTGCTGCCCCGAGGGAGGGAGGACGGACGGGCTCTTGGCTGCCAGGTTCTGGAGCAAAGCGCAGGAGCAGCTTGCTCTGATCAGTCACTGCCCAGATCCCTCCTGCCCAGCCATGGCTCAGAGGTGTCTGCCTGATACACCCAGAAGGACCGATGACCTTGGCCTGCGGTCACATCAGGGAAATGGGCCACTAGCCCAAGGCCCCTAAAGAACGGTGTCAGAACTGACCTCGCCCCCCCGCTCTGCTGCCCACCGCAGCTGGAAGGCGCCTTCCCTGACACCATGACCAAGTGTGCCGAGCTGCTGAACCGCACCATCGAGGTGGACTTCGTGGACATCAACGTCGGCTGCCCCATTGACCTCGTGTACAAGAAGGTAATAGCTAGCTGGCCCTGGAGCAGTGGGGGCAGCGTGTATGATGGGGGCTTCGTGCCTCAGTTCCCCATTGACTGGGGGTGGGGTGCTGAGCCAGCTGGCGAGGAGGTGGGCAGTGAGGGCTGTGGGCCCAGCCCGGGTCCTGCCCTCCCGTGTTCCAGAACCCTCTGTCTCGCCTAGGGCGGGGGCTGTGCCCTCATGAACCGCTCGGCCAAGTTCCAGCAGATCGTCCGCGGCATGAACCAGGTTCGTTCCAGATCCCGCCCCTCCGCTGCCTGGCCCCGGGCCCTGCCGACCGCCCGCGTCCCCACAGGTGCTGGACGTGCCGCTGACCGTGAAGATCCGCATGGGCATCCAGGAGCGCGTGCCTCTGGCGCACCGGCTGCTGCCTGAGCTACGGGACTGGGGGACCGCCCTGGTCACGGTGGGTCTCGGGGCGCAGTGGGGGTCGGCGCGCCGGGGAGCTGGCGTCCCTTCCTAACAGTGTCTCTCTCGCCGCTCCTGCTCGTCTCTCCGGCTCTCCCTCCATCTCTGCCTCGCCGTCCGTCTCACTGTCGCGCTCTCTCAGCCTGTCTTTCTCGCTCTCTGGGTCTCTCTCTGGGTCTAATTCTCCGCCTCCCTGGACCCTCCCTCCACATGCGCCGCTTCCCCTCCAGCTCCACGGCCGCTCTCGGGAGCAGCGCTACACCAAGTTGGCCGACTGGCAGTACATCAAGCGGTGTGTGACGGCGGCCAGCCCCATGCCCCTGTTTGGTGGGTCTTCTGCCTCTCAGCTCACCCCCGCCAGCCCCGCCACCCACGGCCACGCACCTCTCCCGCCCCGACCTGGAGCCCTCCGCCCCGTTGGGGGACCCCGGGCTGACAAAACTCCAGCGTTTCCACTGCACGGCACCCCTGAGACCCAGCCTCTGTCCCCTCAGGAAATGGCGACATCCTATCGTACGAGGATGCCAACTGTGCCCTGCAGACCGGTGTCTCCGGAGTCATGATTGCCCGGTAAGTGTGCTCAGTGCCGGGGCAGGTGGCAGAGAACCAACCAGAGCCCCCACGTGCCCAGCCTACAGCCCAGGGTAGGTGAGGGCACATCTGAGCTTGGTGCCCTCAGCCAGTGCCCCCAGCCTGACCGACTGCCTCGCCCTCTGCTCTGGCAGCAGGGGGATGCCAGGGCGGGGTGGGGGGCATCGGGAGGGGCCCAGCGGAGGGGTGGCGCAGGGGTGGACATTTCTGCAGCTGTGCACTACGGGCTGGGACTTACGGGCTCTCGGTCACATGGTCGCAGCTGGGAGGTTTGGGCCTGGGCTGGGGGCTGGGGCCCGCTGACCACCACCTGCTCCGTCTGCCCCACAGCGGTGCCCTGCTCAAGCCATGGCTGTTCACAGAGATCAAGGAGCAGCGGCACTGGGACATCTCGTCGTCTGAACGCCTGGACATCCTGCGGGACTTCACGCACTACGGCCTGGAGCACTGGGGCTCGGACACGCAGGGCGTGGAGAAGACCCGCCGTTTCCTTCTCGAGTGGCTCTCTTTCCTGTGCAGGTGGGCATGGCGGCTAGGCTGGCCTGGGACACTGGCACCGGGAGGGGGAGGGGTGGGCCTGGTCGGACGCTGCCTGCCTGCCGGCCCGCAGGTATGTGCCCGTGGGCCTGCTGGAGCGGCTCCCGCAGAGGATCAATGAGCGGCCGCCCTACTACATGGGCCGCGACTACCTGGAGACGCTCATGGCCAGCCAGAAGGCGGCGGACTGGATCCGCCTCAGGTGCCCGGGAGCCCGGGGTGCTGGGGGTGAGGCCCGGGCAGCCGGTGGGGGCTGGGTGCCCAGGTGCCGGGCCTGACCTGCCCCTGCCTCTCCTTCACAGCGAGATGCTGCTGGGCCCTGTGCCGCCCAACTTCGTCTTCCTGCCGAAGCACAAGGCCAATGCCTACAAGTAGTAGGGCGCGGGGTGGCGGTGGGGAGGCATCTGAAGACCCATTGGGTCTCTGTAGGTGACAATAAATTTTATTCTTGTAAGACCTGGCTCTTTTGAGACTCTGAGGCCGCCTGACCCAGCCCTGTCCCCAGCATCTCCCCCCCAAACCCCATTCACTCATTCTGCCCCCGTGGGCCCAGAGCGGCCTGGAGCACAAAGGAGCCACCGGGACTCGCAGGGGCTCAGCCTGCGTGGGTGTGAGCCGTGGCCACCTGCCTAGACGAGGCCCCTCAGGGCTGTCAGCTGGGCACTGCCAGGCCCAGGGCTCCTCTTGCCTCGGTGACGTCTGTCTAGCCTCCTTGGCTTCCCTGTCTGCCCCTGCCCGCCCCACCCCCACAGCCGGAACCCAGCGGGTGGGCGGGCCACAGCCTGGAACCTGCTGCCCAGAGTAACCGGGCAAACAGAACCCCGTAGGACTCTGACCCTGTTCCCCAATGGGCCGCGCGTGCCCCCACCTGCCGCCTTCCTGACCTGCCTGGGCTGGGCCCTGGCTTCCCTATGCAGCACCCCAAGCCCTTCTTCGCACCTGCAGCTCCCCAAGAAGGCTTCAGCCCCCGGAGCCTGGACAACACTGAGGGGCCAGGCAGCCAGCCAGCACCCTCTTGCACGGAGCCCCTTCTTGCTGTGGGTATGAGTGGGGGGTGGCGCAGGTGATGGGGAGCCTGACAGGGTGGGGCCCAGGGCTGCGCCCGCCAGCCCGAGCGCCCCACAGCTGCCTTTGTCCACAGGTTCCTCCAATCCGTATCACCCCCCAAACCCTGAGAAAGAGGTGTTTCCGGCCCCTCCGGCAGGTACTGGCCTCCCCAATCCTTCACGAGGACCCAGGAGTGGGTTAGAGCAGGCAGGCCCTCCCCACCCCAAGCCTAGGTGGCCCCCCAAAGCATGGCCCATGTCCCTGCCCTGCAGAGGGCCTCCAAACCAAGACCCGTGACTGCCCTCTCCTAGAAACACCCGCAGCTGCGAGGCCAGGACAGCCCAGCTCCAGCCCTAGATGAGGCACAAAGGGAAGACCTTGGCCCTGTCCCCAGATGGAGCCCGAAGCCAGGTCTGCGTCCCTTGTCTCCCAGACGTCTCCCACAGGCGTGGGCAGTGTTCCCCTCACACCACCTCCCCAACATGGGCTGTGGGGCCAGGCAGGCTTCCAGGAGCTGCTCCTCTCAGGGCTGCCCCTCCCCCACTCCTGGCCCCCAGGTTTCCAGATGGCGCCCTGTGGGTGTTTCTTTGACCCTCGCATCTACCGAATCGAGTGGGCCACCACCGACTTTGGCCAGTCGTCCCTGTACAAGCTGGCGGCCGTGGGCAACGTGGGGCCGGCCGGGGGTCCTGCCGGGGGCCCCACCTCCCCAGGCACTTACCTCCTAGAGCCCCAGCACTACCTCAAGGCCTCAGTGCCGCCCCCCCCGTACCCACACTACCAGCCGGCGCCCAGGGGCCCCCAGTACCTCATGCCCTTCTTCCCGCCGGAGGGGCCCGGGCCAGAGGCCCTGGGCTTTGTGGCGGACGGGGGCCCCCCTGCCTTTGTGGAGCCGCCCCCCACCCTGCTCAAGGAGGGCCCGGGCCCCCCACCACCTCCCGCCCTCCCCGAAGAGAACAAGCTGCTGCCGCTGCTCATCTCGCTGCCCACCGAGGCCGCGCTGCCCCCTGGCCCCTACGGCCGCCTCAGCCAGTTCCACGGGCCCGCGGTAGCTGGACGGCCTGTCGAGCCCTTGGCCTTCCCCGCCAAGGAGCTGCAGGGTGGTGGGGCCAGGCCAGCCCTGCTGTACCCTCCGGGCCCCCGGGAGCCCAAGGCAGCCGAAGCAGAGACAGCCCCCCTGGGGGCAGGCGAGGCCAGGACCCCTGAGCCAGCCAGGGCCTTCGTGCTGCCCGAGAAGGTGCTGCTGGAGGACGCCATGAAGCTCTTTGACTGCTTGCCGGGAGGCGCTGAACCCGAGGGGTCCCCGCGCAAGGGCCCGGGGACAGCCCTGCCGGACAGCGGGGGCGGTGGGGACGACTCCTCCGGCGACATCCGCTCGCTGCACCTGCCAGACGAGCTGCTGTCCTTCGACTACAGCGTGCCTGAGATCCTGGACACGGTGTCCAACGTGGACTACTTTTTCAACTTCAAGGCTCTGGATGAGGAGCCACCAGCCCGCCCAGGGCCCCACCCCACCACCGCCACAGCCCCCGCTCTACGGTCAGAGGCCCCCGGCAGGAAGAAGGCCAGCACCTCCTCCGCCAAGAAGGGGCGGCAGGCCCCCAAGGGCAAGCAGGCTGCAGGCCCGGCCAGCGTCAGCGCCGCGGGGCCCAGGCAGGACCTGCGAGCTACCCCCCATTAAAGCGTGTGTGAGCTCTCAGTTCAGTGTCGACTTGGCGGCATCAGGGGCAGACCTGGAGGGCTGTCCCCTCCCCCAGGCCCCCAGTGGACCCCGGGCCACATACTGAAACGGAGCAGGACCCCAGCGCCCCTCGGTGCAGGCCTTTCAAAGCAGGACTCTGACTGGGGGGGAATTCTAGGTCCCTCATCACTGAGCCCCTGAAAGTCCGAGTCTCGGGAAGGGGTGAGGGGCTTGTGGGAGACGCTGCCCACGCTGACTCGCACTGTGAGGATTCTTTGCCCTGCGTCTGCTAGAGAAAGCCCAGATGGCCCAGAAAGTAGCAGAAGTTGCCTGGAGAGACACAGCAAGCAGGGCAGAGCCTGCCACACTCACGCATGCGCGCCCGGGCGTGTGACCGTACACGGCTACGCAGCCCACGCGCGCCCCACGTGCCTGCCCACGTGCTGCTTACCCACGCATGTACACGTGGCCTTGCGTGGGTGTGCACGCACACCTTCACCTGCGCTGCCCAGACATGGCCGCACTGACATGGTGCACGTGGACACCTGTCGGCGCGCACGTGGGCTGCTCGTGGACACGCACGCTGCACCCTTGCACACAGGCGTGCTCTCGTGCATGCAGCGCTCGCCTACATGTGTGTATGATCAGTGTGTGCAGTCAGCCCTCAGTGTCAGTGAGAGCTTCTTGGAAATGTAGGCTCCAAATGGGGGAGAAGGAGAGCAGTCTGGCCAGAGGTTCGTTGACATGAAGCAGAGCTAAGTTCCGATCACCAACCCATCACCAAGCGTCTAAGGAGAGGCCCCACGCGTTTCTGATATGTGAGTCATGCCTTCGTCTGCTCTCCAACCCGCCACTCCTGTTCAGGGTCTTGGAGGCCAGAGACAGCTGCAGCTCGGGGCACAGGGAAGGAGCTGACCCCCCCTGCCCCACCTTGCTCTGTCTGGGGCAGTGTGGACACACCAGAGAGCCTCCTGTGCACATCTCTGGGGCGCAGGAGGAAACTGGAGTCCCCAGAGAAAACATGGTAAGAACATGGGAGAACGTGGTGGCGGAACTGACCGATTGTTCCTGAAGCTGAACAAGCCTGGTGGCCCCTGGCACCGTGCGCCAGAGGCCTGCTGGGTCCCAGACACGTGGCCCACGTGCAAGTGTTTTGGGTGTGCCAATCCAGGAATGGGGCCCCGCCGGCACCCTCACCCCAGCACCCCCCGAGTTTCCCGTTCCCTGACACCCTGTCCCCCTCAACCGCCCCCCTCGCCAGACCCGCCCGTCATCCACAGTGTGACCAGAGGCTGGGTTTACCACTGTCCTACGATAAGGCCCCCGACTTCCCCTGTCGCCCCCAAGGCCGGTGCTCCCACCGGCGGGGCTCAGCGGGGCTCTGGCCCCAGCAGCGAAGGGAGGTGGCGACGTGTGGTGGCCAGAGGAGGGACAAAGAACGGGCAGGCCAGAGCGGCTTTCTTTCAGCTGACACTTTACTCTCAGCCCAGTGGGGGCTGCGTCACGCCTCACCTGCACTGGAGGCACGGGCAGACTTTCTTGACCTTCTTGCACAGACACGTGCAGGCCGCGCTGAGCCTCAGGCCCACCTGGGTTTGCAGTGCTTTGGGGAAAAGGTAGCCCAGACACACAGACAGCAGCAGGCCCACCATGATGGTCGGGACCCAGAACTCGAAGTAGATGACTCTCAGCGGGTAGGCCCCGTACACAAACACGCTGAAGGTGGTTTCCAGGTGACAGTAGCTGCAGGGGACAGACGGGGAGCCGCTGGCACTGGCCCGGGGGCCCCACCCTTCACCCAGCGAAGCCCAGCGGTGGCGTCAGGAATCTCAGTTCGTCTGGGCTGAGTATCTCAGGACCCGCTCTCAGGAGGAAGGGCGGCGCCCGGCTGGGGAAGGCCGGCCTGCGGCGTGGTTTCCCAGGTGTCTGTGCTCAGGGTACAGCCGATCTCAGGCGGACAGTGGGCCTGCAGAGCTCCCAAATCTGCTCTTTATCACAGATACATAATGTTTATCACACCGTGGGAGCCTCTGTGAGCGGGCTGTGGTATGCCACCGTCTGAAGGGGCTGGAGAAGGTCTCTGGTGCCCACGGCAAGGACTGACTGGAGGGCACGGCCGACCCTTGCACCCAGCACGGGCACTGAACAAATACAGACTGCTCATGTGCCTCTTCTGGAGACAGGCTGAGCCGCTGGGGGACACAGCTTTATCCAGAACCTGCTGAGTGGAGGAAGACGGTAGCCCACGGCGGGCGATACCCCCTTCTCACCTGTAGTATGGGTCCACGATAGAAAGGAAGAAGATGTAGAAGCCGTTCCTTTGATCGAAAGCGATCCTGTTGTCCGTGGGGCCGCCCAGGATCTGGTAGGGAACTTTGGGCCAGCGCAGCGGGGCGCGGTTGTTAGGGTCGTGACAGCTCACATAGTTCTGGGGGAGGAGGCAGAGGCACCCCACTGGCCTGAGGGAGGGCCGGACCTGTGCCCAGCAGAGGCTCTTGACCCCAAGCGGAGCCACACCGGGTACTCGAGGGCGGCTGACTTGGGGGCTCGCAGAGACGAGAGACGGGGAGACAAGTGGAGACCCTCGGAAGACCCCGGGGTGCTGGGGGGGCGGTGTGGGGTGGGATGGGGCGGCAGGGCACCTTGTCTGCCCTCCCACTGCCCTCTGCTGCCGCTTTTGCCGGTCGTGGTTCCCTGCCAGAAGGGCCTTAGGCTGCGGCGAGCTTTGCGGCCCTGCTTTGGTCCAACCCTGCTTGACTGGACATTTATCCATGAGGGATGGTACCGGGAACCATCTCTCTAGCCACGCTAATCCTACTTCTTTCACACTAAGTGTGCTTTGTGTGCACGAATGGCCAGGACCCTTTAGAGTGTGCAAGTCTGGGGTCCCGAGGTACTGCCCGCTAACAAAACCAACGGTACCAGTGAAATACAGGATCAAAATTAGTCGGTGGGGCGGGGTGTGAAGCAGACACAGAACCTGGCCGCAGGGATGGCTCCAGGCGCGGGCAGCGGGCGCCACCTGCTGGCCGCCTCGCCGCACTGCACAGGGCTGGTGCCGGGGGAGAGGGGCCCGGGATTTGCAAACACAGACCGGGATTTCTTCTTGCCCTGACAGCGTGAGCCTTGTCTGTCGATGTGTGTGAACCAATGTGCCCGGTGGAGACCTTTGCTGAACAGACCGTGAATTGAATCGGCCTCCCAATGTCTGGCTTTTGAATGGTTTCAGAATCTTGCACATGTCCTGCACCGCCCGTGAGCACCTTGGGACTTCACCTCCCAGAGCTTGGTCTCTTCCCAAGAGACTTGGCCCGGCTGAGGGCTCCCTGTGCGCCCACCCCTGACCTCCTGGCTGAATGTGCCCCTCTCCCGGCTTCCCTGAAAGTGATGGGGGGGGGGCGCGGAGAGTGGAGCCCTCGTGATTGGGGTCTGTGCCCTAGAAGAGGCCCAGAGCGCTAGCTGGCCTCCTGCTGTGTGAGCGCAAACAGCCACCTATAAACAGGGGCTGGGACTCCCTGGACACCAAACTGCTGCCGCCTTGGCATTGAACTTACAGCTTCCAAGGCCACGAGAAATAAAGATCTGCCGTCTGTGCTCGGCTCTCGCAGCCCGAATACACCGAGACTCCCCCAAGCCCCGGATACACTGGGGTGACCAGTTGTCCCCCTCTGGTCATTGACAACGTGTCGTCCCGGCTTCTTGGGACTAGTTCGAGAGCCAAGCGCACCTCTCGGTTCCAGGCGAAGGGCACATGTGTGGTCCCATTATGCCTGACGGTGGTCCAGTTCTGGGGCTGGGAGATGCAATGCGCCGAGGCTGCGGTCAGGGAGTACGTGTACGTGAACAGCCCGTTCACCTCCAGCAGCACGTACTCCGCCTTCACCACCTCCTGGAAGCTCTCTCCTCGCCACCTAGGACACACACAGGGCGTGGCTGGGGGAGGCTGGGGCAGCTGATACGTGAGAGACCCCCGGGGCAGGGTGGGGACAGAGCGGGGTGGCCAGAGGGTTGTGGGGGTCTTCTGGGCGTGGCCACTGTGGGGCTTTCTGAGAAGAGGGCACCGAAGCGGAGTAGAGGTCGCGTTCCAGAAGGGAAATAGGGTGCTAGTAAGTAGTAGCGTCTTCAGGAAGCCTAGAAGCAACCCAAACCCTTCACGCCTGCCCCTTGGTATCTGGGCTTTAGAGGGGTGTGTGTGCGTGTGTGTGGATGTGCGTTTGTGGGGGTGCGCACTGCAGGCAGGTGGGTGGGAACGTGCATTTGTGGGGGTGCGCACGGTGCGTTCGTGGGGGCGCGCACGGCAGGCAGGTGGGTGGGGACGTGCGTTCGTGGGGGCGCGCACGGCAGGCAGGTGGGTGGGGGCGTGC